ATTGGTTTTCCCATTTCTTTAAAGAATTTTAATAGGATTTGGATTGGAATCGTGTGGAATTTGTAAAGCAGTATTTTTGGTAATAGTGAAATGTTCACAGTATTGAGTCTACTTATTCAGGAACATGCTAACTAGTTTCATTTGTGTGTTTCTTTTGGTTTCTTGTAGGAGTATTTTATAGTTTTGTGTAAGTCTTTTGTTTCTCTGGTAATATTTATTCCTAAATATTTGATCTTTTGTCTAGCTATTGTAACTGGTAGTATTCTCCTACTATCTTTTTCAGTCTTATCATATTTAATATACAAGAATTCAACTGATTTCTGTATGTTGATCTATAGGCGACTATAGATACAGCCAACTATAGCCATATTTTCAGTTATTTCTAATAATTTTAAAATTGAATCTTTGGGATTTTCTATTTATAGGATTATATCATCTGAAAATAAAGAGAAATTTATTTCTTCTGTGGTTATGTGGATATTTTAATATATTTTTGATGTCTTATACCTCTAGCTAACACTCATAGGACTATATTAAAGAAAAGTGGTGATAAGATACAATCTATCTAAGTCATGTTCACAGAGGGAATGTTTTCAATTTCTCTTCATTAAGTGAGATGCAGGGCATTGGCTTTGTACATGTGACTTTTACTATTTTAAGATAGTTCCCCTTTATGCTTATTTTATTATTTTTATCTGGATGGAAAATGGATTTTATCAAGACTTTTCTGTATCAATTGATGTAATCATATGGTTCTTCTGCTTTATGTTGTCTATGTAGTGAGTCACATTGATTATTCCTAATATTAAATCATCTTTTCATATTTGGCATGAATTTCACTGAATTGTGATGCATTATTATTTTTTATGCTTTTTTTTGAATTCTGTAGGCTAGTATTTTATTGAATATCTTGGCATCTATATTGATTAGAGATGTGGTCTATAATTTTTAATTCTGGTAACATCTGCCTGGCTTAGGTGTCAGAGTTATAGGTGCTTCATAAAATGAGCTTGGTAATGTATGTCCATTTGTATAGTGTGGAATAGTTTATGTAAAATTATGTATGGCTACACCTCAAGATAAAGAAAAACAAAACCCCTCAAAACTAGAGCAATAAATAGCATCACAATAAATAGAGAAAATATTGAAGCTGTGAGAAATTAATTTTGCTTGAATCCACAATCAATGCCCATGGAAGCAATGGTTGAGAAATCAAACAACTGATTGCATTGGGCAAATCTGCTGCAAAAACATCTCTCTAACTAGTGAAAAAGAAAAGATGTCACTTAGGAGACTAAAATAGCTTAACC